GATGGATGGATGGATGGATGGATGGATGGATGGATGGATGGATGGATGGATGACAACAAAAACACTGTAGTTAATAATGCACATCAATATACTAACATTAAAGATGATAAGTACAGAATTCCTGCTTTTTTCAGAACTACATTTTTGTTATATGGGGTAAAGAGAAAATGCAAGTCATATAGGAGTCTTCAGTTAATCATAGATAAATAACTATTTTAATAAAAACTTCGTAAATAAACAATTGTTGTAGATATTAGTACTTGTAAATATCAATTTTATGCATAATGATTATTGATAAAAGCAGGTAAGTAATGAAAATGGAAAAGATGTTCGCCCCAGAGTCAAAACTCAAAGAACTTTATCCACTATAACTTATAACTAGGAAGCAAGGATGTATAAATATGTGTCTATTTGTTAGCAAAGGTTGGAGGAAAGTATAGTTAGTCCTTATTTGGAAAATATGGATGTTGTGGTTTTTAAATTTACTGTTGGATCAGTGTAGATTGATCCTAAGGTTCTGGTGTCGATCCACTTTTGGCCACCCCTCAGTGTACATTGGTTATTGCCTGGCCACCCTTATAAAGATTTTCTGGCTACGCCTCTGCTATACCTTTCTAATAAATGAAAACTTCTGTAAACCCAAGTATTACTTTTGAGACATTATCTTGCATCTGTCCCAAATATGTTATGCTAAATCAATATAAAGAAGTTTATTTATTAAGTATCACTTCACTTCTTTAGATTAAGATTTACAGGTGTCAAAATTTGCTCCTAATTGTTTCCACATTTTAGTAAGTTTTATGATTCCCTAGAATATTACTTTGGGGCTTGATCTGAAAATGTCACATTACCACAGGTGTTAAAAATGCTCAAAACCACTTATACTTACAGATATCTGTCAGGATTTGGTTATGGTTTGTTGACCCAAATGCAGAGGCAGGGAGGCAGAGGGAGGCAGCTTGTTGGTTTAATGAAGGGTTAACTGAACACAGAGGCAGGAAATCCAAAAATCCAAACATGAAAACAAAGTTCAAACAAACCAGAAACCAGGAATCCAAATATCAAAACATGAAAAAAAGTCAAAACAAACCAGAAACCATGGAGGCATCAGGGGGGATACTATCACGAGGAGGAAAGCTTAGAGAGACGGAGTAGGAGGAAGTTAGACGAGTAACCAGCCCTGAAGAACTGAACAGAGAGAGTATTTATGGGAGACTGAAACAAAGAGAAGACTAATGAGCAGATTGGGAGCAGGTGTGAACAGGGCAGAATCAGGAAAGGAGCTAGTGAAAAAGGAGAACACAAGAGGGTAGCAGAGGGTAACAAACGAAACCCTGAAGACTGAAAATAACCAGAAAACACAACAAAATAAGAAACCAACCATCAAGACTAGAAAACAAGGAGCAAAGCAAAACTGAATACTCAAATGAAAACATGACAGAACCAAGACTGAGACAGTAACTGAGAAATAACCAGAAAGCACAACAAAATGAGAATTCAACCACTAAAACTAGAAAACAAGGAGCAAAGCAAAACTGAATACTCAAAAGAAAAACAGAACAGAACCAGAACTCCGACAATATCAAAGAAAACTTTCACCAATATAATTTTGACTTGGATCAAGCAAAGATGACCTATTTTTTTATTTAATTAATTATGTATTACAGTAGTTATACTACTGTCCACCATCAGATGGCCATATTGTGCCATTTGAGATTTGCACTCCTGAATATTATTTCCTAGCTACTGTTTTGGAGGAAGGTGGTGCTGTTGCGCACAAGCCGCTGCTGCGCGCTCAGCGCTCCTATAGATGAGAGCGTGTTCTCCGGACAGTGTTTATGGATAACTGCAAAAAGGCAGCGGAGCCTCTGGTGACCATCCTCCTTTTTAATTTTTTTATTTTTTCTGCATAGAGTAATGATGTTCCGTTGAAGGATCTGAAGTTTGCTGCGCGTATGGGTTTTGACGTGCGCTCCAGTTTGGACAGGAGAAACACGATCTGATGGACTGGTTTTAAACCACACAGGAGGTTCTAAGTTATTGCATTTTTCCCTTTGCACTTTTTTTTTTTAAGTAAATTTTGGGATATTTTTGTTGCAGATTTTGGTGTTTAAAGTATGAAGCGGACATGGTTTTGCGCTTTGGAAGTTTAGCCATTCTCTCCTGAACTCCCCATCCTGTTTTTTTTTTTTGTTTTGTTTGGTTTTTACCCCACTTTTGAAATCGAATCTGCAGGAGGATCGAGGTACGAAGGAGCAAATGGCCAACGAGCGCAAACCGCGGCTCTGCATCATGGCAAAGGGCGAGAACGGGTATGGATTTCACTTGCACGGCGAAAAGGGGAAAAGCGGCCAGTTCATCCGCAAAGTGGAAACAGGCTCCCCTGCAGAAGCGTCGGGAATGCGCGCCGGGGACAGGGTGGTCGCGGTGAACGGAGTCAACGTGGAGAGGGAGACGCACCACCAGGCGAGTGCTCCACGCGTGGGCATTCATATTGATGATTTTTACTCCAATTACAGCCCGGTGCGCTGTCTGCATGAGGGTGCATGTAATGGTCATACAGCCTGACAGAAACAAGCAGGACAATCGGGCTTGTTTTTTTTTTTTGTTTTTTTTTTGCTTCTGTTGCACTTTTCCAATCACATGATGAATTTGGAAAATGAGTCCACTGACTTTCTGGAATTTTACCCAGTCATAGAAACGTTTCATAGATATACGCAAGATACCAACAGCAACACGCCTGCACAGCATATCTGTGCCAAGAAAAATCTGCAAATAAACCAACTGTCTTCTGCGTCTGTAAATGAGGTTAAAACTGTCTGCAGTTCTGTCTGAACTGGGTTGCTTCACTCTAGGGATTTGGCTGTTGTTCACAGAGAGTCTGAAGGGTTTTATAATTATCTACAGGCTCCCCCTGTGACTGTTGCAGCAGAGATAACACAAGTTGGGTTAAGCTCTCATAACATATCTAATGTCCTTTTTATTTCATTTGGACAGATTAAACTGGTTGTGCAATGATGCCTGATGACATCTAAATTGTTGCAGACCATGAAAATAGCCTTTTGGTTCTGCAGTCCTGCTGTGTAATGGATCTAATGCTGGGTTTTGTTTTTTACCGCTGTGATGGTCCAGAATGGGCCAAAAGGAACAAAACAAAAAAAATATTACAAGAAACCCACAATAGTTTATGGGGAACATAGGCTCCCAGCAAACATATTTCTGCTTTTGTTAAAAGTTAACCTTTATATGGTAATATTTTATATAATGCTTAGTTAACATTTTCACCACATCCTTTTGTTTGTGAGTTTTTTTCTGATCAAATCAAGTTTCACAATATTCACATCACTTTCATTATTTTTTCTTTTATTATAAATTTTACAGCATTTAACTTCATGTTTGTTTTATAGGCACATTTTATAGCAGTAGTGCTTAATTATGACGTATCAGTAAAATAATTTTTTTCTGCATATTTCTTCATTTAAAATTTGAAACGAGCAGTGTGCTTCAATATGTACTGATATTGCAAGAAATATTTTGCAGAGTCACCTTGTGTTGCAATTAAAGCTGTAGATCTATTGGGTATGACTCCAGCAGCCTTACCCATTCATATTGATAGGCTTTCAGCCAGATCATGGCTGTGTATTTAGGATTGTAATGCTAGAAGCCACAGCCTTTGGTTGGTCTTCTTAAATGATTGTCTTTTGACTACCCTGCCTAGAGCTTCACAATAGTTTAAATCACAATCATCTCGCAGTTTCATTAGGGGAGTCTTGTAATCAGAAAGGACTGTTTGCAAGCAATACTATATTATAATACCTCCAAGTTTCATGCATCCAATATCCAGCATATCTCTCTTTCTGCTGAAGAAAAGCATCCCCTCAGTATAATGCGGTCACTGCCATGTTTAACTGTGGGAATTTTTTTTTCAAGCTGATGTGCAGAGTTAGTGTTCTGCAACACTCCAACATCACGAAAAAGTGAATGATAATAATAATAATTATTGGACTCATCTCAACGCATCTCTGCATTTAACACATCTCCTTGGGGAGCAGTGGGCTGCCATTGTGTGGCGCTGGGGGCGCAGTGTAGGGTTAAGGGTTTTTGATCAGTAACCCAGAGTGCAGGCTGTGTGGATCAAACCAGATACTTGCACCTTCTCAGAGCACAAGTGCACTGCTCTAGCCACAAGGCCAACACTCCCCCGCTGGGCCAACTTTAGAACCTTTACATTTTTTGTTAGTCTGTCTCTGCAAAATCCCAGTAAAGTGCATTGAAGTTTGTAGTTGTACTGTGACAAGTCATTCAGACTATTCCTGCAAAGGAATGTACTCAAGCCAAACCCTGTATTACGTACTGAAAATAAACATATGCAACTCCAAACCAGGTGATGAAGTATTATGTCCTTCTCCCAGGTGGTACAACGGATCAAGGCAGTAGAAAGTGAGACCAGGTTGCTGGTTGTTGATCAGGAGACATACGAAAGCCTCCGCAGCCTGCATCTCACAGCAACAGAGGAGATGGCCATTCTTGGGACAGATGCTCTTCCTCCTGCTTCCTCCCCTCCAGCCTCCCCATCATCTGCACCCTCCTCCACACCTTCCTCCCCCACCAAGAAGCGCCAGAATGGCTCAGTGTCCAAACAGGATGGCAAGGTGCAGAAGCCCACCAGGAGGTCACCATCGAAGGCTGTAAAAAAGGTGAGCTCAGATCAAGTGATCATGCTATAAAAAGAAAAAAAACATGTGCAAACAGATCTCAGGTTGTGAGTCATATGTCTTAACTGTTTCTCTCAACTCATTCATGGCTACAACCTGGACTTGTTTTGTGGCTGTCATGTCGGTTTAAGATCTGATTTGTAGATGTCGTGCAGGTTCTGCAACCTCACTCACTTTGTGTACTGAGGGGGTAACGTAGCATAGCTGTAAGACTGCCAGATGTTTTTTTAGAAGTAAAAGTGAATCCTGAAATGTCAGAAGGTGAAACCTGCTGGAAGTCATAAGGTCTAGTTTCTGGAAAGCTGAAAGAAAAAAAAGCTTCTAGCTCAAATGTTTAGCTGAAAGTTTTGTTTTGTTTAAAGGAAAAAGTGAAGAAAAAATGTGCTTACAGTTTCATATTTCTGTTTATTTTTGATTAAATAAGTAGGATTTTATTGCTTTGTTTAGTATTTTATTCCATGCTGACAATGTGAATCATCGTATCTCAGTGTGAACAGCCCTGTGTCTGCACAAAGATCAGTTCAGATTCCGTTTCATGGAGTCTCTATAAAAAAGAACATGCAGCTCCCCTTCTGCTTTCTGCAGCCACACCACATGTGTTTTCACTTAGTGGTGCCCTGCTGAAATGCTCCAACCATTCAGGCACTTATTCTGCATGAGATTTGACATCTTCAGAGCTTTGGATTTTAAATATCCTGGTGATGTTGTTTAGTTTTTGCTTTTTTGTCTTGGAAAGTTTACAATTTTGAGCTGGTCTAATCCACCTAGGTTTGCAAAATAAGTTTTTTTTTCTCCAGTAGAATACAAAAAGGCAAAACAAGAAAGAAATACTCAGTAGGCTGCATCAAAATGAATTACCCTTTTAAAATGAAAAGCATACTTTAAACAAGCACCTCAGCTTCCTGTTGCATCTCAAAGGAAATCGTCTTCATATAGGTATTAGGACTCAGGATTGACACACCACACCAATAGAGCATTTAACGTCTTCTGCAGAGCTCTTTTGCGGTTGTTACTGGGAAAACAGATTTGGCTTTTAGTCCAGTAAGTAAAAACAAATGGAAAAACAGTCTGGTCAATGAAATGGAGAAAAAAGCACAAGAAAAAAATAACTGTTTTTCAGAAGAAATGCAAGTTTGTTTATATAAACAAAATGACTTTTAAAAGCCAATTTCATTACATGTTTCCATTGACTGTCTAACTGACTGTAATTTTCTTTACAGTTCTTTTAAATTTAGTCACGCTGACTCATTTTAAAAACATAAATGATTAGCGACCTTTCCAGGGTGTACCCCGCCTCTCGCCCATAGACAGCTGGAGATAGGCACCAGCACCCCTTGCGGCCCCAGCTGTGATAAAGCATGATGAAAAATGGATGGATGGATGGGTGGTATTGTGGAGGATCTTCATAATTGTTTTAAAAGACCTGCCCTCTCCACTTAAAAAAAATGCACATGCACAACCCTGTACCTGCTCCCGAGAGGTAACGGCTATTAAACTCTTGCGAGAGCATGCACAAACCCATTTGTACCTACATTGTAAATAAGTGCAGACTTTGACTAGAAAACATCAAAACCTTCAGCCATTCGGACTTGGTTTGAGGCCACAAACTGTTAACTACATTTTCTCCCTCCTACCATGGTTTTTGGGATATTTTATGGCAATTTATCCCAGGCCTCATTCAGCAGCTCAACTCTGGATCATCACACTACACTTAAAAGCTAAAGTTCTACTCCAACTTTAATGAATTGCTTTAATTGGTAACAAGTAATTGAATCAAGTTTATCCAACTTGATTTGTTAAGTTTATAAGTAAGAAAATTAAGTTGGGCAAACCTAGTTCAATTACTGATGGTATTGTGTTCTTTTTTTTAAACTACTGAGTTAGTTTTGCATCAGATGTAACATTATCTATTTCTTCCAAAATGTTTAAATTATATCTCATCAGTCCACATAGTTTTCTCACAAAACCCAGTTAGGAGATCATTTAAACGTGTTTTAGTAAAAATAGGATAGAGCTTTGGTGAGCAGTGGTGTTCTACTAGAGAATCACAAACAGTAGTGGACAAGTCATTTTGTTATAAAAACAATTTCTTTATTACGAAACATCATTTCCTGACTCAATAAATAAACATGAAATAAAAAGAGACTTTTGTTAAAAAAATATGTGGTTAAATATTTCCACAGTAAAAAATAATTTAGGCTCTTTTTGCAGTGGGGCGTGACATAAACGGGTCTTGGATTGTAAATATTTGACAGTATACACAGTGAGTTGTATGCCAGGTCTTATTTTCTCTCACTAAGCCACAGAACACGACAACCATTGAGAGCAGCACATTTCTCCTCATATTCTTCTTCTTAAGAGAGGTCAGAGGAGAAAAAAACAGCCATCCTGACATTTAAAAGCATTTTGAATCGGTACAGAGGAAACCTTAGACTCGTAGGAGCCAGTATTATACTTGCTAAAAGCAAACTCTCACTTTGAGCTTAGTATCCACCCACAACGGGGCAGGACAGTGGGAAAGCAAAGGTTTTCTAATGACGATGGTGCATTTAAGGTGTGCGTTTTCAGGAATAGAGTTTGCTGAAGAAACTCACACTGCTTTGTTTTTACATACTTTGATTTAATGATAAGAAAGTTTATTTGAATAAGCATAAATGCTGCTTAATCAGGTAAGCACTTTGATAAAGATCATTAATAAAAAAAAACAAAAAACTTCCTGACTGTTAATGTCTAGGAAAGTTTTCAAACCTATTGACTTTTTAAAAGTTTTACCTTAAACTTTAATGTATTTCCTTTAGATTTTCCAATACAAAGAAGTGCATCACTGTGAGGTACAGAGAAGAATATTAATTTTCAATGAATTATAAATTAGCTGGATTTAGTCTGGAATCTGAACGGGACACACTAAGACATGACTGCCTTGATCTAAACCACACGTCATACTCAAGGCCCACAGCAACTCATCTGGCACCAAGAGTCAAAAAATGACATAAAGTAGAGGCATGTATTCTTTTAAAGTGACCAAGGTAGGCAAAACAGCTAAATACATTATTTATTATGCAATAAATTACTATAACAGAACAGTGTGCCCTTTGCTAATGAAAAATTGGAATAGAAATTGAATAACTGCAACCGAAACGGGTCCTCTTAAAGTCTAGATCAGGGGTATTAAACTGGTTCCAGTAAGGGTGGTGTTGCTGCAGGTTTTCTGTCCAACCAAGCAATAGCACACCAGACCCCAGTCATCTCATCAAGTTATAATGTTCAGATTGGACTCACTTGATGAGATGACTGGGGTCTGGTGTGCTATTGCTTGGTTGGAAAGAAAACCTGCAGCCGCACGGCCCTTTCTGGAACCACTTTGACACCGCTGGTCTAGATTATGTTTAAGGGGTTCGATATAAAAATGAGTTTGCCATCCCTCATCTTTTATCATCCTTTGTAGCCCTGATTTTAAGTTAGAGGACGTTATCCTGCTGAAAGATGAACCAACACAGTCTTTAGTTTATTTGCAAGCTATTTTATTGTTTAGTAATCTTCCCATCTCCCATCCCAACTTTGACAGTCGTTCAAAAAAAGGATCCTGACTACATGATAGTGTCATGACAATGTTTTGTGTGGTGATGTGTTTTGATACTTTGCATCCACACATAGTTTTCTTTAGTTGTTGTGTTTTTGTTGTTGTTTTGTTCAATTGTTTTATTTTAGGACACTTATTTAAGCATTTCTAAAACTTAATCCCTGCCCTGTCTGTGGGGTTTGTTGTGCTTTATAAGGTTGTTAGTTCACTAATGCTGTCTAACAAACCTCAGGCCTTGACAGTGCAGCTGTAAGGTGGAATCTATTCACTACTCAGAGGACAACTGAAGGCTATTGTTAGCACTGATTCTTTTTAGGGTAATAAATATCAGCTGTAAACATCTGCCTGCTAAACTTTACAGGATAAAGTTAATCTACAAAAAAAGCATTAACAAAGTTTCTTCCACAAACATATGCTGTGCTCTTCTTTCACATAAAATATCAACAAAAAGCTAAGTTGTGCAATAAAGATCACAACAAAGTACTTTTTTTTGTAAATGTTTTGCTTTATAATGAAAAAACACACAAAATGTTAAATACCATCTCACTGTATAGTGAAATAAACATGTTTTTTAATGAATTTACATTGATAATGTGTGAACAATAACTGGTGTTTAATATTTAATGCATTACCAGTTCTTCCTTGGATGTTTAAATTTAATGCACATACTGTACAGTCCCTATTCACTTAAATCACCTTTTTATAGTTACATTTTTTTTTTAAGTGAGTAAAGTAAGTGTACCGCAAATTAGAAGAAAAAGAGATTGTCATAATTTTTACTTTTGTTGAGCATAAAAATATTGAGAAGCATTAGTTTATTTCAAATCATTTTGAAATTATTGGATTTGGCCTATAGACTGAGGTCAGGACATTCTGAAAGCCTTTTCAGTATGGAAAGATTTATGTTTCTGCAATAAAGTGTTTTATTAATCCTCAAAGCAAAATTTAAAACAGCAGTGAGATTTCTCCTGATCTCTAAACATGAATATCAATCACAGCTTTTATAGGGTCTACACTCACACACAGGTAAAATGAAATGCAGCTAGATACAAACATCTCTGCATCATACTTTCCTGCACATCTGCCTAATGAATATCCCAGTCAAAGGTTTAGGGGAATGTTTGTGCCTATGTTCTCTAGGTTACATAACACTGCCTGTATTTTTCTTCTGTTTTAAGGCCATCCATCTCCAAGGTTTCCCTCTTGTTGCATTCCTGTTGCCTCTTGATTTGTGATGCAGGAAATAGCTTTCTGCTCACAAAAGATAATGTGCTTTCTTCTACCTTTTATTTTCTTCAACCTTTTTTACTTTATTTGCTAATATCTTTGTACAAAAGATAATTTAATCTGAAATTATTAGAAGGAATTCCATTTTATTTTTAGTTTTATAATTTCCATGTAT